TCGCTCATTCAATCACTCACTGACTCACTGACTCACTGACTCACTCGCTCACTCACGCACGCACGCACGCACGCACTCACGCACGCACGCACGCACGCACGCACGCACGCACGCACGCACGCACGCACTCACTCACTCACTCACTCACTCACTCACTCACTCACTCACTCACTCACTCACTCACTCTCTCTCTCTCTCTCTCTCTCGCTGACCTATCTTCTACTTATCTACCTATCTACCTACCTGCCTATCTACCTATCTACCTATCTACCTATCTACCTACCTGCCTACCTACCTATCCACCTATCTACCTATTCACCTATCTACCTATCTACCTATCTACCTATCTACTTATCTACCTATCTATCTACCTACTTTCATACCTACCTACCTATCTACCTGTCTATCTGTGTATCTGTCCATCCATCTATCTGTCTATCTGTCTATCTATCTATCTACCTATCTATTTCTCTCTCTCTCTCTGCCTAATGTAAGCAAGTATGCTGAAAGAGTCGCACCCTCGCAGACAGACAGACAGATGGCTCGTTACGTTGACTTGGATGGACTGACTGATAGGCAGGCAGACGGGCAGGCAAAGAAGGAAAAGCAGGCACGTGGATAGTTTTGGTAACTCGCTAGAGCGCTGCTGCCGACTGGCCGCAAATGGCAAACCTTTCGGCTCTGAGGATTTAATCCTCGAGGGCCTGCGTCGTCTCCCGAGCAGCGGTTTCCTACGAAATTCGAGGGGCGCCTACCGGGAAGTCACAAGAATACAACAGTCAAGGCAATTGATTTCACTTGCTCGTGCCAGCCCTAAAGCCGAAAGCGCTTCGGAGCAGTCCACCGCTTGAATCCTCGCAACGAAGTGCCAGAAGTGCTGTTGAAGAACTTCCCGGTATGCCGGCCGCTTCAGGGCTACATCACCGCGCAGCTACCGTCAAGAACTAGTCAAGCCGTCTAGCTTTCACCGGCCGAGCCTCGAAGCATTCTGCCCATTAAGTTAAAGCACGCACAGCCCTTTCGAGATAGACACCCAGCCTCGTCAGTGATTCTTCCACGCTATTTCATTTTCTTCATTGTCCCGGTCCTGGCGCTGGGGCAGAATGATGCAAACATCGCTGGATTGCACCTCAGCGGCCGATTTTCCTCCGTGCATCTGAAGGATGCACATAGGCTTCAGATGTGTCGAGGACTGCAGAGGGTGCATGAAACAACCTGCTGGGGGACGCACCTCAGAAAGCTGAGAATCCCAAGAGCACCGAGCCAAACGCAGCAAAGCCTGAGGCTAAAGACCTCAAGGACCCTAAACCCCCCCCGCAGGTGCTCACGCTCCTGATCGTCCTGCCCCTCCTGAGGCAGGATTCGGGTCTAGGCTTGGCCAGAGACCTCGCTTCATTACTCGCGCTAGGCGTCGGCAGTGTCTCTTGCATCTCCGAACACCTGACACCCGCGCCTGCCAGATCCCGGAACCGAGACAAGGGAGAAACTCCAAGATCCGAAACCCCTAGCCACGATGCCTCGATCCCTCCCACCAGTGCTCCGTCCAAAGCCCTGCCCTTCGAATGGCTCAGCGTTTCCAGGATCGACATGGCCGAACGGCTCCCGACCTCCTCCACCTACGGTGCCGAGGAGGTCCTGGAGGCCATGCCTTAGCTAAGACTTATAGGGGGGGGGAGGGTTATGGGGGTTTATAAGATATATATTGGGATTAGGGTTTAGGGTTCTTGAGCTTAAAGGGGTTTCGGTAAAGTTTCACGGCTTTGAGGGCTCTTTTCCGGGGGTTTAGGGCCTTTGGTGATTGCCGGGGTAGGCATCGGAGTCCTTTCCGTCGGCGGTAGATCCCTTCGTAACCCTCGCCTTCTTCCAATGCCCGCGATATGGTAATTCCACGTCCTTCCCCCACATCCCGCGCTCCTGGGCAGGCCTACAAGCGAGCACAGTTAGATGCAACGCAGCGATCCAGTTACGACAAGGCAGATGCTCTCCTGCAGAGCGTCCATTGCTCTGCTAGTGTCCGCAAGATCAGGGATTTCAGACTTAGCTCTGTGAGGCTGTCCTGAGGACGCTCTATTACCATAACTGGTACACAGGCCAGCGAAGCAACTGTGGGTCTGGGGTAGCAGATTTGGCATGGCAAGAAGTGTTCGAAGTCATGCGCCAGGTCGAAGTGCAGAATGTCCAACAGCGATCTCCAGCTGTTCGCGCTTCTTCTTGAGCCACGCCTTTTGGGCAGGGAACCTCGGGTCTTGAAGTCTTGTGCGTCCATTGTGCAGTTTTGAGCTCCCGAGCTCCGAGGTTGGCATCGCCGGCTTTGGGGATGGGGAGCAACCGCGGCTTCGGGAGAGAGCGTTGGAGGTGGCCTTGACTCCCTCGGAGGCGAGAGGCTTAGCAAGCGGTGTTGCATAGGCATGACGAGGATGCTGAGAGGAGGGCTCTTCCGAAGGGATACGGGGATGCGTTTAAGGTGTTGGCCTTCGATGCTGCGGCAGCAACGCAGAAGCTTGGCCGAAGCATGTGTGTGCCGTGGTGTTCGCATTGCTGCATGCGGAGTCGCTGGCACCCTTCCCCTAGCAGTGTGTCGATGCAAGTGGTTCGAGGAACGCTCTCTATACCTACGGCACAATGCCGCAGGAAGCCCGACCCTTACAGCAACTGGGCTCGGCCGGGGATCGAGCCGGGCAATTGGACGTAACGTCTGTGTGGTGTGCAGGTCGTGCAGAAATTGGCGTCCAATTGGACGACCGAGTGTGACATGAAGGGGAAGCTCATCATTGGCGTGTCAGTCGGCCACTAAATGGAATGTCCAAGATTCAGCTCCTACTGTTGTTTTGAACTGCCTTCGAGGTGCTGAGCTCCGCTGATCATCCAGTGCCATGCCCTTCGGACTTGCGCTACCAAGAGGCTCCCAAAAAGGAAGTTTTTTCCGATTTTTTCGTGGAAGCGTTGATCGCGACTTCTTTTTGGGAGGTCGAAAGAGTGGTTCCGAGACTCATGCCTGGTAGTGCGTGCCCTCCTCCGCTCTCGTGAATCTTCTTGGGTTTTGGGCAGCGCGGGCCCGGAAAGCTTTCTGACAGTCAGTCAGTGACAGTCAGCTACAGGTATACGCATTCTTGGTTCTTTGTCTTCTACTACGACTTGCGACCGTTCGTGCAAGCAGAGGCATGCCACTTCCGCCCCCCAAGACCGGGCTAGACCTCTCCCTTGTGATCTGATCTTGCGACCCCCTTTTTTCCAGGCGGCGTTTAGCATCGCGACGACGGCTGCGAGCTCAGCTCCGCAGCTTCCGAAGCTTCCGAGAAGAAGCGGAGAGCCGGATCTGAGAATAAGGTTTTCATCTGCGTCATCCTGTGCATCGCCTCCATTATGTTTACTAGCACTGCAAATGTCCCGGGCCTCAGCGATGCGGGCCACCGGCTTGGCACCATGGGGTGTAGCAGTTTTGTGAAGACATTTCCTTTGAGGCCCTCGTTCTGGCGCCAGTGGAGAAGATGATGCGGAAGGTTGAGGCAGGTGCAGGGCTTGAGTCCTCAGGGCCCAGCACTGGCAACCATTTCAGGTTCAGACCTTTTTGTTTCGAGCCTGGGTTGCCTGGGTGGTCTCCCGCCCCGAGTTCAGCATGTCTTTCGCAACATGTTTGGGGCGGCCGTGGCCGTAGAGTAAATGCTGAACCTCGGGACCTAGGTCTGAAGATATGCAGAAATAGCCCCAGACCCCCGAACGACACTGTCTGTTGAAGCATTAGCCCGAATCCCAAATGCGAACTTCTGCAGGCCATCCGGTCGAACCCCCTGGCTGCCACAAAGCTGGCAGACGACGAGTTCCAGAGAGAGGCGCGCAGACGAGTCGCTCAGGGCTCAGAGCGTAGGATAGCGTAGGATCTGGAGTTAGCGACGCATGTGAACCCACCCTTCGTGCAAAAGATGCACAAAGCCGCACAAAGCAAGCTATCCCAAGAGAAGCTGAGCGGAGCCAGGAGCGGGAAAGGAGGAAGAAGGCCGAGCAGAGCAAGTCGCGCTGGAAGCGCCTCAAAGACCCGGCGGCGCTCTGTAGGCCCCCGTTCGGGCATCGGGTTTCCAGGGTCCTTCTTTGAATGCCATATTATAGTATATTATAGTATATTATAGTATATTATAGTATCTTATAGTATATCTAGTGCATGTCATGCAGCTTGCCTGGGCGGAGAGGCGACCGCAGCGTTGGCTTAGCAGCATCTTCGGACATCAGCAGCCTCAGCGGAATGCATGTCTCACGTACGCGGCGTATCAGCTGGCTCGTGACTAGTACTAGTTACTAGTATCGCCGAGACTGCTTCTCGTCGTCTGCTTGCTTTTTTCAAACGAGTAAGGGGAAATTTGGTTGGTTTCTTGTGGCTTCTTTGAAACCCCCGTGGCCATGGCGGAGCCAGCAAAGAAGAAGTCGAGGACCAACCCAGACAACTTCTTCAGCAAGGACTGAGCAACAAGGGGAGCCCAACTGACCTTTTCCGGGGGATATTACGACCGATTTGTCATTCGTGCCCCACAGAGAGTCGGCATGCTTCATGAGACTCCGAAGTTGTTGCGGCCAGCTGCCAGGAGTTTCTTACGCAGCACATCCGGGATATCATCGGCTTCTACCAGCCAAGGCTCAGCAGCCTCGTCCTCTTGTCCTTGCCATGCTGTGCGTCTCTTTGCCAGAGGGCCGTGGATCCAAGCGGTGGCTTCTTTCAGAGCTTCTACATCGATGGTAGGCGTGGAAACCGGATGACGTAGTTCTGGGTGGTTTCCTGCAGCGGATATCAGACATCCTTTCCAAGTTCGAAGCTTCCAACCGGCCAGCCGGGCTTGGGAGGAAATTCAACCCGGAGTTCCGACAGATCGTGTCGAGTTCCCGAATGGTGAGCAGCTCAAGGGTTTAGGGCCTAGTGCAAGGGGTTTAGGGAACGTGAAGTATGGATTGCAGATTTCCAGGTGATCAACTTCATGCTTGCGGGCAAGCTTCTGCAGGATCCGAAGCTGCTAGATATCGGCCGCCACGGGCTGGAGACGACTGGCAGCAGAAATGTTCGCTTTGTTAGTGCTGCTCGTGCTGTTTTTGTGGGGTATGGTCTACAGTCTACAGAGGCATGACTGTTCCTGTTTGCCAGCCTTCCCACAGGGGCGAATCTCGCCACAGTCGGCATGTCAGTTTGGCGTGGCTTTGCAAAGGTACATCGAAAAGGTGCACTACAATCCAGCGAAGCAGAGCTATGCCTTCACAGTCCGAAACCACAAACCCGAGGACCCGACTCTGGTGAGCCCGGGGAGTCCTAGCTGGAGGAAGTTTTCGAAGCCAGGACATGGTGGAGCAGGCCTACGGCTATGCTTTCATCCTCGCAGCTCACGCTGCAGCGCGTGCAGCCGGAGTCGCCTGACTGGACAGTGCCTCCATGTCGTGAGTCGTGAGTGCGAGACAGTCACAGGTTGCCAAAGACAACGTGGAGGTAGGTCGAGTGTTCGACCTGCTGGAGCGCAAGTTTTGGCTTCCCGACAAGTGCCTCTGCAACAATCCGTTGAAGGGATGCGGTGCCTCTTGGATGAAATCCGTTGTGCTCCGAAGTCTGAGGGGAGCATACCTGGACACGATCAGTGCAGAAGGCGCGGCTGCAGAGCTCTGCCCACATCCCACTGCGGCTTTTTGCAGAATTCCATGCTTCGAAGGCGTGGTTGACAACAGCTACCGGGGCCAGAACTCCAACATGCACATGTGCGAGGAACGGGCCAATAGGAATGGAAAAAGCACCTATACTTGTGAGATTGTGCGTCGCGGGAAGTGTCTGGCGTCTTTGACTTCGGAAGTTACGCGCCTTTGAAGGCGCTGATCGCCGCCTATGAGGCGACGAAGGAGACGCGCGGCTCGGCTCGGGCTCGGAATTCGGCAGGGACCCGAAAGTCCTCGCGATCGGAAAGTCCACAAAGAAGAGGACTCCGCTGGAGACTTCCTTGGAGCCTTCTGGAAGCGAGGCTACTTGGATCGCGCGGAAGTTCTCGCCGAGACCTTTGCGGCGCCACCCGGCCGAAGTTGAATCAACTCAACCACGGCCGACGTGACCAACCACAGAGGCTGAACTGATCGGGATCTGAGGAAGCTCGCTGCGAAAGGCCGGCGCTCGACGTGCGTGGGCAGACCGCGAGCATCAGGGTGTCTTCGGACCTGTCCACAGGTGGAGGCTTTGTTTGGGAGCATTATGACGTGAACTTTGAGATCGATTGGGCTGCTTGGATTCCTTCAGATCCGCACGAAAAGAAGGGTCAGTTGCCTCCAGATGTACCAAGGAGTACAACAAGAATGACCCGACCAACATCTACAGACCTTGGGGATTCCAGCCTGGGCATCAGCAGCTGAGCGAAACGGGGAAAGATCTGGCACGACCTTGGCCTTGCGAACTTGAGATGTCGAAACCCAGGATCGAGTGGGCAAAGAACCTTCTGAACATCTATCGCCACAGACCCAAGTTCTGGATGGTCAACCGTGCGAAGGAGAGGCTTGACATGGGTTGAACTTCCAGGCATGCTAATGCTGCGTCTTCTCGTGCATGTGCATGGTGTGTGTATGTGAGTGCGCGTGCATGTGTATGATCTGGGGATCGGCATGGCACGGCAGTCTGCCTGGTGTTTGCCGAAGAAGCCTGTGCTGTTACTACATTCAAGGCCTTCTTTAAGGACACCTTGGGCCCCCTCAAGCAAAGCCAAGTGCCCACTAAACACAGAAGTTGTTGGCGGAGAGCAGAGGGCCGCACTCAAGCCGAAAACGCAACCCGCACTGATACCTTTAGTAGCTAAAGGCTTTCGGCCCTGTGACGACAGGAGCTCTTCGACGGAGCCTGGGAGTTGTCATGGGACGATTGCCACGGCGGCCTTGTTTACGGATTTGGACCGGACAGGACAATTGCTCACTACTGTAGCTGCACGCGATGAACATACGCAGCAGTCACATACAGCGGTTTGTAGCAGCAGGCAGGTAGGGTGCCACTCGTCCGTCCGCTCGGGGGGCATACACTTTTGTGCCGTCCCGCGCCTTATTCTTAGCAGTCTAGCGGACTACTTTAGACGACTCTCTAACCTAGATCCTGAAGGAGGTCGTAAATTTTGCTAAACTGTGCCGGAGTGCAGATGCACTGCCACTCCCGGCACATACGTGTGCAGGTGGTGGCTTTTGGTTATGACAGTCAGTGTTTTTCCATGATTCGGATTCCATTATCCGAGCAAACCCTTGTTACTGCTGCTAATGCTTTGAGTCGTGCTTATTTAGTTGTGGTGCGGCTCAATCGGAGTATTCCGGTACAGCTTACAGCCAGGCCGACCCTGAACCCCTAAACCCCTAA